TTTTGCAAGCTTTATTGTTGCTAAGGAAATAGAAAATGAACTCCGGTGAAGAGAAAATATCTGGTAATGAGAGGAAGTACATGGCACAACAGAAAGTCTACAGACAGATTGATAGTATACGTTGGAGTATCCTTTGTAGTGCAGGGTGCGAGAAACATATTATCAACCATCACTATGAAACCTCTCTTACAAGGTCATCTCAAAAAAATGGGCGATTTGAAAAAGTCCCTTAGATGCCCATCTAGCGGAGACTTTACTGTAATGTGGGTTTCTAGAAAAAATTCACATAAGCATTCGAAGGCATTGGCAGAATATGCGATTAACTACAGTCGACTGTCAGATAGCTTCCACCATAGCTACTGGTTCGCTCCTCACATGTTCAACGAGTACGTCGACACTATTAATGTAGCCGACATCTGTCAAAATTATTTCTCTACCTTTATTAAATATTCTGAACAATCAAGGCCTTTAATAAGTAAAACTATTGATGTAAAACAAACAAAAAGTAGAAGATGAATGATGTTATATTTATTCGAGATATACTAGAATATCCGCTGATCAACAAAGAAGATTCATCGTGTCGGTATTGAAGTAAAGATGCATGGTTGTGAAACCGTCTGTCTCTTGATACTTTTGTTTCAAGCATGTCGGAACTGGATCGCGAAATGCCTAGAATAGAAAGAACATAATACAATGATAATTAAAAAATGTTGATATGAAATACTCGTACCAATACAGTGGCCAACGGCGGAAATTCAGTTCGTTTTGTATATTCGAATTTACCAATAAGAGTCCATCCGAATCCGGTCAATTTGCCTTTGTTGTACAAGAGAAATGAGGGAAAGATTTCGTCACAGTTCAAGTCAAGTCGATTGTCGTACCAATAGTGTTTACCTAAACCGAAGTAGAGTGGATACAAAGAACGAAAGAGAAAAAGAACTGTTTATTTACCCATCGACGGAAAGCAGAGACCCTTGTCCCATTTGGTCTGGCTAAGACCACTTTCAAAGAGTGGAATTTGAATAGAATCATGGATTGGATCCGTACCATTTTGCAGCCAAAGTCCAGTACCTGTACCTTCGTGTTTGAGACTGGATGGGTCCCGGCCTGTCGAACAAATGGTGAGTGGATTGACAAAATAGGCGGTGAGAAGATGAGCATCGATGCCGACAACTTGATCACGATTGAACATTTTCTGTGTTGAAAATTTGTAATGCCTATCTGAGATGAACACGTCGGGAACCTGTTTAAAAGTTGAGAGAGAAGAACAAAAAAACATAGAAAAGAGACTAGAACATGCAACTTACTGCTAATTGCATGCCGGCAATGGTACCCTGTTTGTCATAAAGTAAAATCACAGCTGGGTCGTCCTTTTTAACGAGTCGCTGTCCAAGAAATAGACCTACAATGAGTAGAACGTCAAGGATGCGAAAAATGATTAGACAGAGAAGTTCAAACGCCTACCGTTGCATTGACCTGGAATTTGGATGAAACCATTGTTAAGCGCTTCATTAAGTGTCAGAGGTTGTTTCACAAAATATTGACTACTCAATGGATTTGGGCCCCAAGTCATCCTGAGAGTATCCCAAGCAGGTCCCGTATTACTGCCTCCGAATAGCAACCCATGCACTGTAGCAAAAAACAAATATAGATGATGGAAAGTTCACACGATTGCTCGATTTCTATTCGACTTACATTCTCCGATGCACACAAGCACGACAAGAATCAAGTAGTTCATGGTAGCGTTTTCTTGTTATTGTTAATACGAACACTATAACAAATAAAATGAGACAATCCATTTTATCTAATATCCATCTCTGGTAAGAAACATGAGCCAGGTGTCATCGGAGACTATAATCCTTTTTCAATTGAGTTTCTATTAGTTTCGGGTTTTTCAAGGGCAAATGAAAAATATGTTATTGATTATTTTGTACTAATCTGCTCGTTTCTTTTTCTCTTTTATTTTTCATCAATCTGTGTAAAACGAGGTGTTGAATACAAAAAGAAAAAGTAGAGCCAATGATGAATGTTGATACAGGACTTGATCAAAACCGTTAAGTTAGAATGCGCTTGAGGGTGGATGTGGGTGTGGGGTAATGGTGGGTGTATGGTTGTCGGTAATATTATCTTCCTCACAGCTACCCTCACCCCCACCCCAGCCCCACCCACCCACACCCACCCACCCATACCCGCACATCCACATCCACACCCACATCCATACATCCACCCCTCACCTCACACCTACACTCAGACCCGGCCGGGCCTAAGTCCACTCAGACTCGATCAGATCCGAGCTTTTTTCGAGAATATTGGGAATTATAGAGCTGCAGGTCTACCTTGCTCTGGACTCGCAGCTCCCTACTGAAGACATATGTGAATAATTTCGTCGCCATATTCTCCGATCGAAACACGATTTAATATATTTCGACGTTGTTGGAAAGACAGTTCAAGGTTATAGCAATAAACAAGAAGTATTGCTTCAGAAAACTATCAAAATGCATAGTTCTTGAAAATATGCAAAATCTATATGAATCATTTTGACTTGGTGTTACTTCAAGAGTCACTTTGAATGTATCAAACTTCAGGATCTTCTGAAGTAAGACTACTATTTTTAGAGCTAGCCATGAAAGAATTTTTGCAAGATTAATCCTAAATTTTTATATTTATTTTTCTGTGCCCAACAAGCATAACAACAAAACTTGAGAGTTCATACTATAAATATACGACAAGAACAAAAAGAAGTACAAATGAAAAAAAATCTTTAAAATCCTATTGATTGTGTTGCAGATAATCAAAAACAAATTATCGGAAAATTTCGATTCTTGAAAATAGAACAGCGACCAATAAAAAGACTTTTATCGAACTTATAAATGACAATAGCCGGTTTGCAAATCCATAATTAGCATAGAACAATAAATATGAAAATGTATATGAAAAAAATTTATATGACCATCTAAAAAATAAATTCGAAGATATCAATAACTTTGAATCATCTTAATATTTAACACAACATAAGTTCAAGTCATTGTGTCCTATGATTACATGACTATTAAAATATGTGGTTCGAAAAAGATTGAGCATAATCATTATATATTGAATTGATATTATTACTAATACATCGCCAGTACAACGAAAATATAATTATTCACTGCAGTACTTAATTGAGAAGACGACTCCATCGTTCATCTATTGTGAATATATATGTTGCGGTCAAAATTAAAATTCAGTCAATTCTAGCATTTGTCTAGGCAAAATTGAAATTTTCAATTTCGTCCAATATAATCTCAGTCAAAATTGAAATTTCAATTTCGCCTAGACAAAATAAAAATCTCAATCTTGACTAGGCATTTTTAAATTTGACTGAATTTTAATTTTGACTACAACATATACACAATATATATGTGTTCATTCCTTTTTTCCATTTCTCCTTGATATGTACGACTTTAAGTGGGATGAACCATTTCTGCATAAACGAGAACAATTTCCCGATCGATTGATCCAATTGTCCACTGCTGGAGGAAAAGGCAAGGCTCAATGTACTTCAAGAAAAAATTGGAGTACCCATTTCTGATGTCTCACGTTTCTTCCTTGCTTGAAGCTCATCTGCTACCAGTTTAGCTGTGGTCAAGTAATTTATAGACGTCAATTTAGTTAAGGTGAATCTAGCCTTCTTTACAATTTCTGACAGTGTTAAACCAGTGGTAAAGACAAAACTTGGTTTTATCTCCAGACTTGGGCAATATTTCAATCGTGAACTAAACTAGAAGTTATTTTTGTTTTATGTTTTAGATTAAATTATACTTCAATCGTATCATTATTGATTCTTTGACATGGCATCAAATAATACAGGTACAAAAGACTATTGTTTAAACAAGAAGAGGAATAGGTCAAAGATCTGATCACTTGTGAGAGATACCTTGACTAGTTTACCAATTCACATGCCGCAAAGTGATTGAAACTTAGGAATGTGAAAGATATGCGTTCAGCCAAGTATAGTTTAGAATATATTATGTGATGCTCAAAGTTAGGGACTACTTCTCAACATCTCATATAGAATGGTTCAGGAGATTCAAAATGAAAAAGTATTTCATTGAAATGGTTATTTTGAATATTTTCATTTAAAAAATCTTCTGAATTGGATTATTTAAAAAAAAATAGTGATTCTATTACTTTTGCAACATTCTCATCTTTGACCTTTCTCTAATCAGAATGTGTAGGATGAAGATTATCGTGTCTTATTTCCAACGTAACATAAATCAATGAACATGAGATCGAATGAACTTTTCGCAAGTTTAATACAAAGTCTTTCAAAGACCAAAGAATCTTGAGTGTGGAAAAAGTTCATGTAAAATGATTATATATAGGCCGATAAAAAATTTAAGTAGGAAAAACTGTACGACGATATTTTCATTTCACGATTTCGAAGTATTTAGTATAATTTTAACACTGTTATTTTTTTATGTACAAATCATTTATACAAATCAGAAGCTTTCGAAATCATGTATGAATGTGTACGTCACATCATTAGAATCTTCATTGATTTTTTTATGCCAGTCATTATTTTCCTATAGGAAATATTTCTTTAGCATGGTATAAAATACATTTGTATTGATGATCTTCATTTCTTTCATTGTAGTCGTCATACTATGTTCCAATAATTGTTCTACTAAAGCTAAAATTTGGTGCAAAAAGTGTGAGATTAGTTATTGCTTGGAATGTAGCAATATTGTTCATGCACCACCAGCCATAACCAATCATGAAAGGATATCCATAGATCAAAAACCATGGGAACCAATGCAATGCGACAAACACACAGATGAAAAAGAAAAATGGTGGTGTTACAATTGTAAGAAAGTGATCGGTCGTGACTGTCAATTGCTTGATCACCATAACCATAAGATTTTAGCCATTCTTGATATTACAAATGGCATAAAGAAGGAGGTCTGTATTCAATAGTCTGTATGTGTTTCTTTCACAAATCAATTTTTCGTCGAATTTAGATGAGTGATGAAATTGAAAATGTACAATCATCTTTGGAGAAAGTTTTAAAAGATATGCGACAAATGATAAGTTCAAGTAGGAACATTAGCAAAGACAAACTCACTGAAGCATTTTCGTCTTTACGTGCAATGATCGATAAGCGCGAAAGAGAGCTAAACCAAAGCATAGACGACATTGACAAAAAGAATAAGAAACTAATCCGAGATTATGAAGATAAATTGAACAACGAAAAAAAGAAGCTCGATCAATTTGAAAAAGAATTTGCGAATATTCTTTCAAGAAATGATCTTGTAAAACTACTGCGAATGAAGCAAGCATTGACCGACAACATCAAACAAATTGCACGAGATCTAGAAGAATTGAAACCATTTATCACAATCGATTACAGTATCGAACAGATCAATGAATTACAAACAACTCTGGATAATGTTCTCAACCATGTGAGAATCGTAGAAACACAAGGTAACTTATGTGTCATATAGGACTTAATGTATTACGAATTTTGTCTGTGGGTGAAGTAATGAAGGTCGTATAGAAATATTTGACAGACTGAGCCATCGATATATCCTACAATTTTTCTCAGGAAGAATCAATGGGATCGTATACGAGAATAGTTACTGTAACCCGCTAATGACTCCATGAAGAAATAGCAGAAAATTGATGAATTCCAACATCATTTAGTGAACTATGGATACATTCATATTTCTCAATGCAGAAATCTTCGACTGAATCCTATAGGAAATCGTTATTTTCGAAAAGCAGACTATTTTTGATGACATAGATTAAACTATGGTTCTAGATTGTGAACAAACTACTTTCATCTTTGTTTAACTGTATTTCCATATCTATTCATCATTGAAATAGCTCCTTTAGAATATAAAACTAAGTTTAAGATAGAACTCCAAAAATAATTATTGATCAACGACATCAAAATATAGGAAAAGTTGAAATTTAAGCGACCAAAGATAGTTGTGGATTATTTTCATTCTTCGAGCTTGTGAGACAATAGACTCGAGTCATTATTGATACTTTAATGAGTTTCATCCTTCAAACAGGATAGAAATTTCATGTTTTTCGCTTATAAATGAAAACTCTGAAAGGAATACCAATTTCTTATCAAGAAAATGGAAATTTTATTCACGGGAAACAGGTACCCTAATTCATATCTAGTATCAACCAAATGCTTCGAAAGACTTTTAGTTTCTATTGAAATGAGAAGTAATGTATCAAGTGCTTCACTGCAATAAGCTACTCAAGTTATAATTTATATGATAAGCATCGGATTAAGCTCAAAATGATGTGATATAGAATATTAGGTGGAGAATTCCGAAAAAAAAGTAATTACCGATAATTAATAGCGAACCTTATAAAACATATGATCTGAAATTTCTTTTTAAAATGAAAAGTATTAGATTCAGAAATTTTTTAGGAAGTTGTATCAAAACCAATTCCAGTGAAAAATAATTTAAAACAAGAATAAAAAATTTTTATTAATAGTATCCATCTGTGTAATCAAAGATAACAGCTATTTAGAAAGAAATAATCAAGTATTCATTACTAACCATTCGAATTTGCTTTATAACCTTGATTAAAAAGTAATAAATAAATCATTTTAGTAACTTTTTTTGATGCAAAGAATTGTTTTTGTAGTAAGAGACAATTTAACATGAATTTATTCACAGCTCATTATTCCGCAATACTAAAAGCTAATTTTTCTTTCTATGTCGTTGAAAACTCAAGTTTTTCTGGAAGCAAGTAGATCTATCGAGTGTGAGTGCTCTCTTCATTTATATCCATGCTCCACGATAAATAATAAACGTTTACTACTATAAGAACAGCGTCATATTCAGAAGCACTTGATTTTCATATGCTAAATAGTGGCATGGAACTTTCAAATTTTTACAAACTTAAGTTTTTTTTTCTTCTAGGATATACTTTACCGATGAGAAATTCACAACCATATGGACCACGAATGAATCCTTCATCAGTAAATAAAATTTATTGAATTTTTTTTCCATAATAAAATATTTTTCGTATTTTAGTATATTAATCAACAAATGACTAATGATTATACTCAATCATTTTATCTTTCTCAAGCATTTTCAGAAAATGCATACATACCTACAAATAATCTACGACTTATGGTTAGTCTCTCAAGAAAACAATAATAAATCTAATCTTTATTTATTTAGAATTCTTCATCAAATGAAACTATGCCTAATTATCCACATTTAATCCCATCAAATGGATTTCAATCAACATATTCAACTGGAAATAATAGTCTTTCATTAGGATCAACTGTTTATCTACAACAATTTTTCCAACGTAAATTTCCTTTTTACAAAAATAAATAAATAAAATTTCTTTCGTATTATATTTTTTTAAATAGCTTACTCAATACCAGCAAATTATTCAGGACCACAAGGATTACCACCGCTATCACCATATGCAATTCCTAATTTACAACAACTAACACAACTAACTCAACAATCACAAGTAGAAAGATTGTGAAACAAAAAAAGCAAAAAACAAAAAAGAATTGTTTTATTATTATAGACTAATCGGTCAACTGTACCAAAATTCCAGCTTGCAATACCACAAGCAAATCCATATGCACAACCAGTACTTCCAGAAAAACGAAAAAAAACTCCATTAACTATTGTTGATCCAGTATCACATAAAAAAGTTGAAGTTTTTACTAAACAATCGACACATACATCAATGACAACAGCAATAGCATCAGAATTATTTCCACACATACCACATGAAACATGTTTAACAGAATCGACAACTACAGATTCAATTATATCAAATTCAAAACAGATAATTGATAAAAGTAAAACACAACCTCAAGTTGATGTTCAACGACAAATTGCCGACAAACTAGTCGATTCTTCCAATGTTCAAACAGATAATGTATAAAATCAGCCCATTACATATTCTTCAAAATTAAGATTTTACATGTCTTTTTATTTATTATCAGAAAAACAATATTAATATTTGATTCAGATATGAGGAGAAAAGACAAAATAGGAGTGAAAAATAATTCCATCAGTTAAATTTTATTTGAAGTATCAGCCAATAAAAGTCACGATAATGCTTGTGTGAGTATCTGTTAGAGTAGATTGGTGTAAGTATATATGTATAGTTGTGTACAAGACAAACGAATAAGAAAATTTTCATTCGATTCAATTTGTTTTTGGTCTCTAATAAGTAATCATAGTACGACATAGAGAAGGACGACATTTAAGTGTTCATTTTCTTTTCAAAAGATATATATGTATATAAGAAAAATTTCAGAAAAAAAAATTCGGTTAAACATTGTGCATGTCAACGAATTGATTCTCGAAATTATCACTTGTCGAAATTCTGTTTTATTACTATTTAGTCTTATGGTGATCCAATACTAGTCGCCAATGAAGAAATTAATTCAAATCAATCGGAATCTGAATCTACATTATTAGACTGTGTTGCAAAACCAACAACAACAATAATAAATCATGATAAATCTCAAGCAGCATCAAATCAACGTTTACGATACAATCGTCATGAACTTTTACGTATTCGCGATAGTTCAGGACCATTTGCAATTCCACTTAATCTTCCTGATCTTAATAGTGTTCTTAGTCGACGTGATAATAATAATCCACATTATTCCTATAGAGGTCAGAGATCCGATACTCGCCGAGTTTTCTCGCCTCGTCTCGTGACAAGCCAAGGCGGCATTCTTCGTACTAATGCGAGTACGCGTTGACCGTGTGACTCGACTACTTACAATGTAACTTTTGGGGAATAAATAGGATATCTCTAATAACACCTCTTGATTTTATTGTAGATTATTTACATTGGTGATGAAGTTTAAATAATTGCGACAATAAATATGTACATATGCATACATATTGTTATCTATTCAGTCTAGTTGAGCGATTTTATTTATTTAATTCTCAGTGCGAATTTAATAGTGCACCTTGGTTATGGTATGATTCTTCAATAATGTACAATATAAATTTAACTATAGATACGCACCATGTCTCGACAAACTGTTGTTCTTTTCCTTGGGAGCATTATCGATATTTCACAAAAGATTTATTCAGATTCTCATAGTGCTAGTCATATGCTATCAAATAACGACTGATCGAGAAGCTTTTTCACAAAATCTTTGTCCTTTTTTTAACTCTCTTCAAAAAGTATTGTAGGTGAATGGAAAACTATGGATTGAAACCACAATTTTATGGTTCTCTCGAACACAGGTTCACAAATTGTGTATCTGTTTTTATTCGAGAACAGCGATGAAATCTTTGAAAGACCTAAAAAAATTAGTTTGGACGAGTCAGTCGGAACAAAGTTTCTGGACAGTTTTTTGTTCATATTCGACTTGCTTGAAAGTATTCCATACGAATAAAGAACTGTGGGTTGAAGCTAGAATTTAGTGCTCGTTCTAAATATGGGCTCAGAAATTGTACATCAGGTTTTGTTCAAGAGTAGTGAGGAGATCTTTATATATTCTGAAAAATTGGTGTGACTAGCGGACTGTCAAACATGTGCTAGCTTCCGCAAATCCCTTTAGAAAGGTGCTAAAAATGGTTGAATTTGGTAATCCTGTAGAGCGAACAATTCTTCACAAAATATGATCTCGAAATAAAATGTTGCTTTTGCACAAGTGAAACAATCACGGCTTGGACAAGCGTAAAGCGATGGCGTTTTGGCCACAGTTTTATTAACTTTTCTCATCAATCGGGTTACCCAGAAGGTTCGTTCTTTCGTTGGAAGATGTGCCTCTGTCTTCTCCGAAATCTCTGAAAATATGAGCTCGTTCTAAAATTAGAGCAAAAATAGATGACGCAACGCGATGACGAAAAAAGGACAAAAAGTTGAGGATGACGTGTGTGTTCTTTATTTTCCTGCGAATGTGTGCTGTATTAAAAGAAACATTGTATAGACGTTTTGTAGCCAACAGTTTGAGGTATCCAACGGAAAAAAATTCTTTAAACAGACTTGAGGGTCTGGGTGTGCGCGCGCGTATGGTTATTCCATTCAAACACACGCACACCCGACACGCATATACACCGACACCCACAGGCACTCACACACCTCACACCCACACCCTGCTGTAAACCCACTGATATAGGGTCATTGTATTTTTATTTCATTTTTTCTTGAGAGTATCTTATTTTACCTCTATTTTTCTATAGAAGTTGGGAAAAATACAAACAAAATAGAATAAATTTTTAAAAGATAAAACTAAATATCTAATGGACCTACATCATAGGATTTATAGGTCGAATCCGTTTCTAGCCAACACACAAGCAGGTAATCCTTTAAGACCGAATATTACAATGAGACAAACGTAGTAATATTTTTATCAATAATGAAAAATGGTTTCTCAATAATAAGAATGAAATTCAAAATATTTTTAGCTACGTTAATTATTATATCGCTTTTGCTAAGTGTCTGTTGCATTCAAGATACGATATTGAGTTATCTTTTAAACTTGTCCATAATAAGAAGGGTTCCATTTATTTGTCTGCTTCGACCATGCATATAGTTGAAGATATTTAGATAATAACTGTGAATGTTATTAAATTTATCTAGTAATAATTCTATTTGCATCTACTTTTCTTCAAATTTTCAGATGCAGAGTTTTAGATGTCATTTTACATTATCTAATTTCTGAAAATCAAAAAAAAAAAGAAATATGTAGTTGATTATGATGATTAAATAAATACAGAAGCGTGCTTTTCCTTTCCAAAATGGATACTTTTATTCGATAATAGAAATGAATTTCCCTACGTAAACGAAAATAAAAATGTTTTAACAACTTGAAAAAACTCTAAAATCCTTTCTGGAAAGCATATCTATCAATTATTTTTGTTTGAATCTAGTTTCGACTGGAAGCTGACATTGTGAAAAATTTGCAATCAGTTCACTATATATAATACAGTGCATACTTCGATTGATTTTTAAAAAATTGAGTTTTGTTTTATATTTTTTTTTATAAAATAATAAATATTTATGAATGACAGTCTATATACTGTCAATGTCACCTAGTTGAAAGATCATGCATATCAAGAGAGCGTCCATGAGGGCACCGAGGAACCGAGGCACTGGTCAAAATTTTAATTTTTGATTTTTTTATGTGCGTTAGAAAGGCCATAGTCTAAAACCATCAAACCTAAATCTTTAGCTCATTTCGATGCACTATAGTAAAGTTAGCTAATACCGACTTCTGCGCATTGTCAAGTTATTATCAAAAAAAAAATAGTCGAAAATTGTACCATAAATGTTTATTATGATAATGCTTCAACAAGACAGAGAATTTCTTCGTGAAATATACTTAAAGATAGAGCATTAATCGCTGAAAAAATGGAGCTATTTCAATTATTATATATCATCTGTTTACTGGATTTTTTAGTCCAATATGAGTCAGAAATGGTCGATTTTCGACATTATAACTGTTACTAGTTTCGAAAATCAAAAAATGTCATGCTGAATTTGATTTATATTATGCAGCTTTTGATTCTCTACAAAATAATAAGAAAATGTTGCAAAGAAGAAGTTGGTGTTCAAGGTGAAACGGGGCTCACAAATATCTTTTTCTTAGTAATTTTTAATGATTTTTCGAAAGAAACAAAAGTTTTTTGGTGGTTTTCGTTGACAAGACACATTTGTAAGCCAAAATGACTGTAATATTCGGAATCAGCATGAAAACTACGTCGAATCGAATAAATTCTAGAGATACTTTTTCTTAAGAAAAACTAACCTCTAGAGAACCACAGGTGATTTTTGCTTA